ATAATGCAAGAGATCAGATCTAAGAAGTGTGTATTATTGAGAATATGAATCTGTTACTACAGTAAGCCCAACGTATACATACTAGTTACAAACAAAAACAGCACCACTTCTTTCTCACTGTTTAACCTACAAATAGGAAGTCTTAAAAGTATCTGGAAGAAGCAGCACTTACAAAGCAGTAGAAAATAAACAGCAGTTAGACTTGAAGGCACCCAGAGTTCCCATCTTATTAGTGTTTATCAGCAAGTTTATCTTTAGGTTTTTCTTTCTTTCTTTTTTTGTTTTTTTTGAGACAGGGTTTCCCTGTAGCCCCAGCTGTCCTAGAACTCACTATGTAGACCAGGCTGGCCTTGAACTCACAGAGATCTGCCTGCCTCTGCCTCCTGAGTGCTGGAATTAAAGGCGTGCACCACCATGCCCAGCTATACATTATATTTTATATATATTGTGTATTAAGGCATATAGTCAAATTTGTGTCCCCAAATGTTCTTCAGTACAGGTTCATTCACTGAAACCTGGTTAACCTACCAAAACTCTCACCCTTAAACAAGACCAAATCTCCCCCTCCCAGCAGCCATCAGTTACCAATATTTCCTCAGGTAGAGTTGGGTTTCTTGTACACCTGCCCATGTCTATGCTGGGATTTTGAGCTTGAGCTTATGTGGGACTTTTGTATGCTGTCATCATTGCTGTGAGTTCGTATGAGTAACTTCCCAGCTGTCTGGAAAACTCTTTCTCTGTGGTCATCTTCTGACTCTTTCCTCTCTGACTCTTTCCTCTCCCGAAATGATCCCTAAGCCTAGGGAGGCAGAGGTTTGATGTAGGTGTCCTACTCAGTGATAAGCACTCTGCGTAGCTCTTGTTCTCTGTACATTGGGCAGTTGTGGTTCCCTGTGTTAACCACCATCTGCTGATTAAGGGAGCTTCTCTGGTGAGAGTAGAGACATGCATTAATCTATGTGTATAACAATAAGTTATTAGGAGTCAGTTTAATACTGTACCTATATAGCATAGTAATAGTAATGGGCTCTCTAGGGTGCTTTCTTAGCAAAGAGAATGAAATAAGGATAAATGTAACTCCTAGTTTCAGGAGCTGCACAAATGTAGGAAGGGTGTCTAACTTCTGAGCTCTTTTATGAAAATAAGGAGAAATATGTTCTTTTTTGAAGGGCTGTTGAGACAGTTAAAGGAGATAATTTACATAAAAATTTCTCATAGGCGCTCAGCAAATGGGGCTCCCTGCTATGCCCTGGTGCTGAGCATGGATGAGAGTCTCCATAGATGAGAGCACATGGGGCTTTTCTGTCCACCCGTTCAAGTGTTGGTGAATTGAGATATAAATTGGTAGAATACGATTTACAATAAGCACTGGTAGAATAAGATTTACAACTATTCAGAGCTTCCTCAAATAAGTCATACTGCAGATTCTTTAGGTTCATGGGCAAGATTGAACAATATCCATTAAGTAGTCAACCTGAAGGAGCAGAAAGTTTCCAGTGAAGGTGTGGGGAAGCCTTGATCACACTCAAGCTCCCTGGTTTCTGATTCCACCCACAGATTGTGATGCTTTCCTATTCCTGGGACTAAGAGACCTCTCCGCTACAGTGCAGGGCCGCCTGTACCCAGAGTGAACTGAGATGGTCAGCTAAAATGAGGAAGAAACATGAATGGAGATATTTACTACATCTGAGCTTTGTGTGTTGTAACTCCCACAGTGATTCCTGTAGATGGGTCTCATGGATGGCTGGGTGAGGAGCCTCATTTCAAACAGTAGAGAAGATAGTGTCTAGAGATTCAGACAATGAAATTATAACACCCTTGATAGAAAAAGAAATAGACCCAAATGGAAAATGAATGATGAAATCCTACAGTAGGAAACACTTTTTAAACACCACATCCACACTGACTCTGAGCACTGTCTTTACTAGGGCTTTAGATCGACAGCAATCCAGGCTAAATGGATTGATATGTAAAATACGCAGCCAGATCCCTACTGGAAGGAGCTATAGTTCTTTTCACATTAGAACTGAGTTATGGAATCAACAGTTTAGCACCTAAATGTTCTTGAAACACTTTTATCCACTCCTTCAATTCTGTTTTGTTTTCCCTACAGCTTATTGCAGAAGTTATTTATAATTGCCGAGTGTGGTGGCACTTCTGTAGTCCCAGATACTCAAGAGGCTGAGGCAGAAGGATTGCTTAAGTCCAGGCATTCTGGGCTGCAATGTGCTATGGATCAAGTTTTCACACAAAGTTTGGCATCAACACGGTGACCTTCCAGATCAGAGGACCACCAGATTGCCTAAGAAGGGCTGAACCCACCCAGGCTGGAAACAGAGCAGGTCAAAACTCTAGAGCTGATGAGTACTGGGATTCCGCTTGTGAATAGTTGCATTCCAACCTGTGCAATATAGTGAGACCCATCTCTTTTCCAGAGAGCACACAATCTGTTCAGCAGCCCATGGAAGTTCTCTAAAATTGATCACATACTGGGGCACAAAACAAACCTCAACAAATTAAAAAAGAAATGGCAATAATTCCATGTACTCGAATCACAATGCAAAACCCCTTAAAACAGCAAAGGAGCTCTAACAAGTATGCAAACTTATGGAGATTAAACAATATACCTGAATGATGAATGGGTCAAAGAAGAAATTAAGAAGGAAATAAAAGTATTCCTGGAACTAAATGAAAATGATAACAGAACACAACAAAACATTTGGGACATATTCAAAGTGGTCCTAAGAGGGAAGTTTATAGCTTTAAGCACCTATATTAAGAAACCAGAAAGAGGTGTTGGAAAGATGGTGCAGCGGTTAAGAGCACTGGCTGCTCTTTCAAAGGTCTCAGGTTCAATTCCCAGTACCCACATGAAGGCTAACAACAATCCATAGCTCCAGTTCATGGGACTCCAACACCATCTTCTGACCTCTGCTGGCATTGCACAACACAGGTGCACTTACACACATGCACTCATGCATATAAAATAAAATAAAAATAATAATTTTTTTTCAAATCAGAAAGAGCACAAATAAATGACTTAATGGTACAACTCAAGAATCTGGACAAGCAAAAACAAAACAAACCCAAACCCAGCAGATGAGAAGGAATAATTAAAATTATTGAAATATAAGGAAAATATAAGAAATATAATATAAGAAATCACTGAAATATAAGGAAAAACAATACAAAGAATCAATGAATCTAAGAGCTTGTTCTTTGTAAAGATAATCAAGACAGACTCCCAACTGAAGAAAGCCCAGGCCCAGATGGAATCACAGAATTTTACCAGAACTTCAAAGACCTACAACCAAAACTATGTAAATTATTCAAAAAGATAGAAACAGAGGGAGAACTCCCAAACTCCTTCTATGAAACTAGTATTACTCTAATACCAAAACCAAATTAAGTTGCAACAGAAAGAAACTATAGGTCTATATTCCTAATGAACATAAATGCAAGAGTTCTCAACAAAATAGACAAACAATATACAGATGCACATCAAAAACATCATCCCCCATGGTTAACTTTATTCCAGAGATGCAAGTATCGTTCAATAAACATAGTCAAGAAATGTAATAAATCATGTAAGCGGACTTAAAACTCACATGATAATCTCAACAGATATAGAAAAGACCTTTGACAAAATCCAACATGCATTTATGTTAAACGTCCTACAGGGCTGGAGCTGGAGAGATGGCTCAGTGGTTAACAGCACTGGTTGCTCTTACAGAGGACCTGGGTTTGATTCCCAGAACCCACATGGTGGCTAACAGTGGTCCATAACTCCAGTTCCAGGGGCTCCAACACCCTCATCTGACCTCCGTGGGCATTGCACAACATGGGTGCACTTACATACATGGAGGCAATGTACCTCAACATAATTAAAGCTATATGCAACAAACCCAAAAGCAATATAACCCTAAATGGTGAAAAACCTGAAGCATTCCCATTAAAATCAGGAACCACACAAGGCTGTGTGGTATAATACTTGAAACTCTTGCTAGAGCAATAAGTCAAAGAAGGAAATCTAAAAGGGCACTAACTGGAAAAACAATGATCAAAATTATCCTTATTTGCAGATGATATAATATTATACATAAGAAATCCTAAAAATTCCACCAGAAAACTTCCAGATATGGTCAACACTTTCAGCAAAATGACACATTCCAAAATAAAGTTTTAAAAATCCATAGCCTTTCTATATACCAATAATAAGCAATTAGAGAGCGAGTTCATGGAAACACTCTCATTCAAAATAGCCTCCCAAAAAATCTAGGAATAAATCTAACCAAAGACATTAAAGATCTCTGTAGTAAAATCTTCAAATCTTTGAAGAAAGAGATTAAGGAAGACAGAAGGAGATGGAAGGACCTCACATACTCATGGATTGGTAGAATTAATATTGTGAAAAATGACCATCCTATCAAAAACATTTTATAGTCTCAATGCAATACCAATCAAAATCCCCATGACATTCTTTACAGAAATAGAAAAAAAATCCTGAAATTCATATGGAATCACAGAAAACCCCAGATAGCCAAAACACTTCTGAGCACAAAAAAGCAACGCAGAGGATTACCACGCCAGATCTCAAACTATATTTCAGAGCTATAGCCATAAAACCAGCAAGGTATTGGCACAAAAACAGACATGTAGATCAATGGAACAAAAATAGAAGACCCAAATATGAGTGCATGAAATTTTAAACACCTGATATTTGACAAATGTGCCAAGAATACACACTGGAGGAAATATAGCATCTTCAACAAATGGTGCTGGCAAAACTGGATCTCCACATTTAGAAAAGTGAAATTAGACCTTTAGTCTGTCAGCTCTAAATAGACCAAATCTCAGTGTGAAATTTGAAACTCTGAAACTGTTAGAAGAAAGCATAGCCTGCACTCTACAAAATATAGGTGCAGGAAAAGGCTTTCTAAATTGGACATTAGTTGCTCAGGAATTAAACTAAAATGTTTCTGTACAGCAAAGGAAACAATCAAGAAAGTGAATAAAAATCCCACAGAATGGGAGAAAATCTTCACCAGTGACATATCTGACAGAGGACTAATATCCAGAATATACAAAGAACTCAAAAAACAAAGAAGCAAGAAAACAAATGACCCAATTAAAAAATGGGCTATGGATCTGAACAGAGAGCTCTCAAAAGAAGAAATAAAAATAGCTAAGAACACCTTAAAAATGTTCAAAACCTTAGAAATTAGAGAAGTTCAAATCAAAACATCTTTAGTAACTAGGGGAATTCATATCAAAAGAACTTTAAGCTTTCATCTTATCCCAGTTAGAATGCTAAGATTAAGAAAACAAATGATACCAAATGCTGGTGAGGATATGGGGAAAGGGGAACCCTCATTCATTGCTGGTGGAATTTGAAACTAGTGCAACCACTGTGGAAATCAATGTGAACTCTTAAAAAAATAAAAAATAAGGGCTGGAGAGATGGCTTAGCAGTTAAGAGTACTGGTTGCTCTTGCAGAAGACCCAGATCCAAATCCCAGCACCCACATGGCAGCTAGCAACTGTCTGTAACCCAAGTTCCAGGTGCTCCAATGTCCTCTTCTGTTCTCTGCAGGCATTGCACGACACAGATACACTAACACACATGCAGGCAATACACTCATACACGTATAAATAAACACAGAAATAAATAAATGACAGACAGATGATAGATTAGATTAGATAGATAGATAGATAGATAGATAGATAGATGATAGATAGATGATAGATAGATAGATAGATAGATAGATAGTTTAAAAATATAAAAATAAATCTACCATATGACCCAGTTATACCCAAAAAACTCATCCTACTGCAGAGTTACTTGTGCAGCCATGTTTGTGGCTGCTCTTTTCACAACAGCTAAGAAATGGAAAGAATGTAAATGTCCCTCAACTGATGACTGAATAATGAAACTGTGGTACATTTACACAATGAACCTCTACTCAGCAGTAAAGAAAAACAAAATCGGGAAATTTGCAGGTAAATGGATGGAACTGGAAACTGTTATACTAAGTGAAGTAACACAGACTCAGAAAAACAAGCAACGTATGTTCTCTTTCATTTGTGGATCTTAGCTCCAAATCCTTAATGTGAGTCCATATCGTGCTGTAACTGCAGAATCCAGGAAAATGGAAAAGAACCATGGGGGTAAAGAATATAAGAAGCTTGAGAGTGGGGGTTAGTAGGAGACAGGTGTTATCAAGGGGAAAATGTGGAAATTGGAGGTACTGTACCTGGGGAGGGAGGCAAGAGGGTTATACAGGAGAAGAGAGAGGTGAGATAAATAATGTTTAGGTGGAGTAGAAAATCAGAGGGAAATGTATTAGTTAGAAAGCCTGCTGAAAAATACACATACAGTACATACATGAGTGTATGAGTGCAGCTGAAGGCTACATAGCAAGTAACACAGTGCCAGACAGGAGAAACCTCCATTTGAGTTGTTTGTCAGGGTGGTCCAAGAGATTCCCAAAATAACACAGGCTATTGCCACAGCCCTTGATTGCCTCTCAGAACTTGAAGGTAAGACCCTATTGCTGAAGACAGAACATATTTTGGACACAAGATTTGGAACAATGGAGCTCGAACTGACCTGGAAGCCTTCTCATTGAAGACTAGTTCCTATAGTATCTGAGGATATTATGCAAGCTGCTAAGGGAGAAAACCAATCAGTGGTCCAACCCAGCTGTAAAACCTAATAAACACAAAAATGACTGGTACAACAAACTTACTATTGCTGCAATAGTGGCACTTTTATCTTGGGGTAATCAACAGCTATCTAAGTAGACTTAAAGCCTGCTCAATGGGAGGGAACTCATGTGTGGTACTGTAAACATAGCCAAATACATATGGCTGGAGAGATCATAGATCCTACATCTGTCACATCCCTACACAAATATCATTTCTTCCTGTATGCTAAGTATGTATCTTTATATTTGCAGACAAGTATAACAGTCACCACTCATCAAAGAGGCTTCTGATGGCAGCAGATGGAGACTATTACAGAGTTCCACAACTAGTCAAACACAGAGAATAAGTGTTGGAGAGATGCTCAGCCATGAGTGACACATCTACAATGTAACCACTATACCTAAGGCTCATGAAGCATAGGAGGGTGTAGAGAGAATACTAATGCAGTCCTCAGCTCTCACCAGTGAAGCGTCCTCATGCAACAGATAGTGACTAATGCAGAAAGTCACAACTGGCAAAAATGTAGAGACTAAGACTACAGAGGGTGCATCCCTGGATAGGACTCTGCCATTAAACCTCTGCCACCCAGGGCTCAAGGATCATTGTAGAGGATATGGAAAGACTGTCAGAGCCAGGGGTGGCGAATGACTACAAGAAAACCGAGTTCTCCAGGTTTCTGGGAAATTCCTCATATGGACTTATAGCATGGTGACAGCATGCACAAGATCCATGCAAACTCAAACCAGACCAAAATCTAGCATAGAAGTGGGGAAATGGGTAAGAAGCCCCAGCCTTAGCTGAGGAGCTATTGGCAACTGATCACTGATGGGTAAGGGAGAGCTGGTCTTCTTTAAGGAAATGATGCTAGATAAGCTGACCACTCTAACGTATGTATTACTTTTTTCTTGCCTCTCTCCTCTTAATGTCCAGATTTAAATCTATATTAAAACCTATTCTTGGGGGCTCAAGAGATGGCCCAGTGGTTAAGAGCACTAGCTGCTTGTGCAGAGGACCTGGGTTTGGTTCCCAGCACCCACACGGCAGCTAACAACTGTCTGTAACTACAGTTCCAGGGGGATCAAAAGCCTTATTCTGGCCTTGGCAGGCTTTGCATGTGTGCATTTACATACATTCAGGCAAAACACTCCTATACATAAGAATAAATTAATAACAGCCATGGTGGTGCATGCCTTTAATTCCAGCACTCGGGAGGCAGAGACAAGTGGATCTCTGTGAGTTCAAGGCCAGATGGGGCTACAGGGAGAACCTGTCTCAAAAAGACCAAAAAATAATATAAAACAATAAACTTCTAAAAAATAAAAAATAGAACCTGTTCTTCATAAGAGCCAGTTTTACTCCACAAAATTCTCCTAAATTCTCCATCATACATCTCTGTAATGATGTATTCAAAGGCAATTGAACAAACAACTAGGTAATTCTTAGAATGTCACCCAGTCACACCAAAAAGGCATTGGCATGGACATAAAACAATTTGCTATCAATCAATCAATTTGCTATCTTTTCTAGTGACCTGGATGGGAGGGTGTGAAGTGGTGGAAGGCTTGTAGATGACTGTGTCCCTCCTGGATCCACAGCTCACTAAGTCCTGATTGGTTTATATGGTGTTCACAGATTTGAAAAATTCCTTCCTACCGAATGGAAAAGAGAACAGAATCCGGTTTGGGGAAAGCCATTTCCCCACGTATGTAGGGCCACAACTTTCCACAACGGATTGGCAATGGAATGGTGAACCAGCCTTATTGCCATAATTCAACTTGTTCACATATTCCTTTGTAAGGTGGGCAATTAAAAGTTTAAACCAAAAGTATCACTTTCTTGCAGGTCATTGAGGCATTGCTTCTTTTTTGTTGCTTTTGTTTTTGAGACAGGCCTCCCTCTAGCCACAGTTAGCCTGGAACTCACCATATTGACCAGGCTGGCCTCGATCTCACAGAGATCCACTGGCCTCTGCCTCTCGAGTGCTGGAATTAAAGTGTGTACCACCATGCCCAGCAGAAGTGGCTTTTTGAAGAAATTTCTTCTGGATGAAGCTCTAAAGCAGCTATGGAAAATCTCTACTGTGAGCCCAGCAGGCAGGAGGAAGAAGTATACAGCAAGCTGGTGGCCTGCTAAGAATGTTTTCATATCAGAAGGCCAAATAAATTAAAGAGAAGACTGCTAAAATGGAATTTCAGGCAAATAGATAATAAGAACAGAAAATTGCTTATTAAAAACTCGAATTTCCAAGAAGAAAAGATTGTTATTTGGGAGTACTAATTTAGAGTTATAGGCACATTCTTACATGTAATGATTAACATTGCCACCTTGACAGGATCCAGAAGACAAGCCTTTCCTGTAAGTAGGTTAGTAGGGTAGGCAGACCCACCCTAAAGGGGGCCCATATCATTCCCTGGGCTTGGGTTCTAGACTTAACAAAAAGGAAAAGGCTGACTGAGCACTAGAATTCATTTTTCTCTGCTTCCTGAATGCAGATGTGATGTGACCAGCTGCCTCACACTCCTGCTGCCCTGACTTCAGCTTCGTGATGAAATTTACCCTCCAACTGTGAACCAAAATAAACTCTTTCTCCCTTAAATGGATTCTTGTCAGGTATTTTGTCACAGAAACAAGAAAAGTAACTAATAAACCATGCATAGCTAGGAAAGTCAAGTGTAATTTCTTATCCTGACACGGATAGACTGTATTAGTTACTTTTCTGTTGCTGTGATAAAACACCATGACTGAGGCAACCTATAGAAAGAAGAGTTTATTTGGTTTATGGTTCCATGGGGTAGAAGTCCATCATGGCAGGAGGCATGGTGGCAAGTGGGACCAGAGCAGAAAGCTGAGCACTTCTATTTGCAAACACATGCAGGAAGCAGAGAGATAATAGACTGGAATGGGGCACTGCTGTGAACTCTCAAAGCCTGCCCTCACAATGTGCTTCCCATAGCTAGGCCATACTTCTTAAGGGCTTTATGTCCCTCCCCAAATAGTGCCACCAACTGACCAAGTATTCAAATGTTTGGAGTCTATGGGGGGACATTTCTTATTCAAACCACCACACAGACTATGACAGATGTTGTAGGATAATTCATGGAAAAATAAAACAAATCATTCCCTTCCTCCCTCCCTCTTCCCTCTTCCTTCCTTTTTTTGGTGACCCAATGATTTTCCTTAGGGCTGTTTACAAGAGGATGGGTGAGAGATTATTTACAAAACCATGGGGACTTTAACAGTTGCTACATAAATTGTCTAAATCTTCAAGCATACAGGGCTGGAGAGATGACTCAGCCATTAAGAGTGTCTGCTCTTACAGAAAACCTGGATCAAGTTCCAGCACCCATATGGCAGCTAACAACCATTCATAACTCCAGTTCCAGGGCATCCAATGCCCACTTCTGTCTTTCATGGGCAATGCATGATATGGATGTACTTACATACATGTAAACAATACACTTATACACATAAAATAAAAATAAATAAATCAAAAAAATTTAAATCTTCAAGCAGGGGTAGAAACTCAAGAGCCCTCCCCCTGGCATGTCATCTTATTAATCTATCATGAAACTCTGCTATTTTGAAATCTATGGGAGTGGCTGTTCCCTATTGGTCCCCAGCCCCTTGAACATGAGCTGTCACCTTATTAAAGTGGCTTCCACACCATCTGGAGCTGGAGTGGGCAGCTGCGTAGAGAAGAAGCCTGGACATTACTAGGTTAGTACTCTCCATTTTAACCTGCATGCAGTGTTCTTGGGTCTGCTTCTCTTGTAAAAGTGTTTTGAATGTTTTCACTAGCCAGTATTAACCATATAAAACAATTATGTAATCTCCCTGTGTGTATATAGTACATTTTGATCATATTCACCACCCATCACCATTGATTTCACTTGAATTTGGTTCTTGTTCAGACGACTTGCTTTGTGACTGAACATCAGGCAGTGAGCGATTTCTCTTCTTTCACTCCCTCTCTCTGTCCTCCTCCCTCCTTCCCCCATTCCCTCCTTCTAACCCTCTCTTCCTTCTTCCCTCTCCTTCTCTTCCTTTCCTGCATCCCCAGCTCCTGTTCTTTTGCTCCTGTCCTTCTCATTGTCTTTCCAACCTTCCTCTTCCTCCTCCTTCAGCGGTGCTGATCGAAGGCTGGTGGGACATGGCATCTCACATTTGCTATGGAATCTAAATGCATGGGGTTTGGGACGGTGAGGCAAGTGGACCTGGATTTGCCTCTTAGGAAAACTTAAGATCAACTATGCTCTTCTCTCGAATTGCCATGTTCAGATCCAACACAGAATTTTCAGAGTTCTTTCATTTGAGAAGATGAATATTCTCAAGGCTGCCCTGCCAAAGCACTTACCCAGCTTTTTTTTTCTATCATGCTTTGAGAATTCTATTTAAACAGCAGAACAGCAGATTTCATAATTAGGATTTGCTAGTTTATTACTAGCTTATTACTTAATTGCCCAGTGCTACCTTATTTTTAAATGATTAACCCAGTAAAGCAAATACTGAAAAAGGAGAGCATGGAGCTTGAGTTATTAAGCCCTCTGGACTGTGGAGTGAACACTGTGTAATATACCACGTGAAAGACTGTCTTCTCTGTTTCACAGATGTGTGTATAGGGGGAGGGGGAGTGGCAGGTAAGAAATCATTAACCTTTGTAAGCTGTTAGAATTCTGTACCAAGATATAACAGGACAAAATTATGTTGACTACGAGAACTAGGTTAAATTCCAGCGGTCATTAAGCAGCTAGCTGGCTCTTTGGGGTTCAAAGCAGTCTCACAAATTTAGAGAGTGCTTAGCTGACTTCTTAGATCCCTTGTAGCTCTATGTATCAGTTACTTTCCTTTCCCCATGGTAAAACACCAAGACCCAGGCAGCTTATAGAAGGAAGTATTTATTGGGCTTACAGCTCCAGAGGAATAAGAGTTCATCAAGGGGGGGAGGTGGCAGAGGTGGCCCAAGCAGAAAGCTGAGGACTCACATCCTCAAACAGGCACAAGTAACAGAGAGAAATAGAGACAGACTGGAAGTGGGCAAGGCTATATACTCTCAAAATCCACTTCCTCCAGCATAGCCACACCTCCTGAAGGTTCCATGACCCTTCCCAAAGAGCACCATGAACTGGGGACCAAGTGTTCAAATACTTGGTGCTGTGGGGGATATTCTCATTCAAACCACCACACTCTAAAATTGGGGAAGTTTAAAGGGAGAACTAAAGCCAACAGAATACAAGTAGCTTTCATAAAGCATGTGATCCCAGTAGGATGCAATGCAATAAGACTCACTGATGCTATGGAATAACTGCCAACACAGGGAGAGTCCAATAAAGGCCTTCTATGAAAAGCCACCGCATATCTGTGAAGTCTCACTGGTATTAAAGCTGTACAGGCCAAGCTGTAATTCATTGGAAAAAAACAAGACAGACAGACACACACACACACATAAAAGAACAGGTACTTTATACTATGCTACAAGCAGGTCTTTGATTCCCATGAGGAGCAACCATAACCCAAGGTGGTTATATGGCATATGCAGGGTAAGAAAGCTGCAGAGGCCCGGGGGATGCTGACTCAGCAGGCCTGAGCCCACGGGGCAGAAAGGGCAGGCGCTTACTCTTAGTTCTCCGCTGGGAGTCTTCTCCCCTGGCTCCGACTTGGTTGGCTAAGGAAATGATGATGCTTGTATGGAATTCTCAGGAACGGTACAGTGCAGAGCAGTCTGTCCTGTCAGCCATCCGTAACCAAGTCTGGAGTCTAGACGGGACTTCAGCCCAGGTAGCCCAAGCTCCAAACAGCTGCTATCCTGTTCCCTTGCAGCCATTGTCCTCACTTGGCCATGGAAACTGCTCAGTGGAGTTTCCATGACTTGGGACCTTTCCACCACACTCTTTAAAACAGAAATTCATTTGTTTACAAATCAGAAAGAGGGCATAAGAGAAAGAATATGGATTGCCTGTCACATTTAAAATATTTTGACATAAAATTCAAGTTTTACACAGATTTTTTTTTTGATTCAAGAGTTTCATACAATGTCTTTTGATCATACTCAGACCCTCTCTCCCCTCTGCACCCCCACCTTACTACCCACTGACTTTATATCCTCTGTTATTATTTGTATTCTTTTTAAGATTACAAAGTCTAGTCTGTTTTTCGCAAATGATCTTGGGTGTGGGTCTATCCCTTAGACTCTGGTCAATGTACCAGTCTTCACATTACTAAAGAAAACTGACTCTCCCAGCATCTATCAATTGTCAATAGATTCTCATCTAGGGCTGGTGCTTCCTGCCCACTTCCTGTCTGCCCCTGTCTAGCTTAGGGTTGCACAGGTCTTGTGCATGCTGTCATAGGTACTGTGGGTTCATATGTACAATTGTCCTGTGGTATCAGACAACACAGTTTCCTTATATTCATCTACCACCTATGGCTCTTACACAATGGCTCCGGAGCCTTGGGAGGAGAGGGTGTGGAATAGATGTCCTATTTAGGGGCTGATCAGTCCCATTCTCTTGCTCTCTGCACCATTGACCAGTTGTGGGTCTGTGCTCAGATTATTTTTCTTTGAGACAAGGTCTGCCTGTACCTGTAGCCACAGCTAGCCTGGAACTCAATATGTAAACCAGGCTGGCCTTGATTTCACAGAGATCCTTTTGCCTTATCCTCTTGAGTGCTGGGATTAGAGAGACATGCTCCACCACACCCAGCTCTCACACACGTTTTTGACACAAATGCAGTATAAAGAGAAATACAATGCACAACCACAAATCTTTCGAAATGTTTTTTAAAAAATATTTTATCTTTTTTTTTTTTTTTTTGGAATGTGTATGAGTGTATTGCCTGGATGTGTGTAAGTGCACTGTGTTCTGCAATGCCTGTGGAGGTCAGAAGAGGGCATCAAATTCTCTTGGAACTGGAGTTATGGACAGTTGTTAGCTGGGTCATGTGGGTACTGGGAACTGAACCTGGGTCCTCTGCAAAAACAGCCAGTGCTCTTAACTGCTGAGCCATCTCTCCAGCCCCGGCAAGATGTTTTTTAGCACTTTCTAACTTGAGGTCTAGAGCTAAAATGGTGTCAACTATCAGGAAATAACTGAGGGTCCCTGGTGGAGTTTTTGTTTTTGCTCATTCATGGCTGTGCATCTCTCCATTTTCAGAACATGATTTCCAAACATTTTATATTCTCTTTGTTTGAAAAAACTAATGTCATGACAGAGAGATATATTTTTTTTCCATCCTTTTTGTTTTTAAGCTTTATGGAACTCTAGTGGGAGCCAACAGAGAGATATTTTATGTCACAAAACTTTTTTAAAAATCAAATGCCAGCAACACGGCTCAATAAGAAATTGCACTTTCTGCCAGGCCTGATGACCCCAAGTTCAATTCTTGGAAACCACATAGTAAAAGGAAAAAAAGGACTCTAGAAAGTGGTCCTCTGACTTCCGTATGTGTATGGTGGGAGGTACATGCCCACACACAAAGGCACATACAAATAAATGATAAAAATATAACAGAAATTGTCCCTAAGTCTGGGTAATTGACCCCCCTGGCTTTTCAGTGAGTCTGGTGGGTTTTGCACCCACACCCCTGACACAACCTGCCTGACTTCACTGCTGACCTGCCTGCTGACTGGGTGAAGCCCTCTTCTATATGCTGCTGTCAGACAACCTGGAATAGAGTGGGGGTTCTCAGCAAATGGGACTTTGCTCCCCCGAAAAGAACTGTCAAGGGCTAGAGGTGTTTGGGGTTGTCATGTCATGGGGTAGAAGGGATATAATGTTATACTCGTGGAGACTGCTTAGAAAATGAAACACCCTGGCCAGGATAGCTTCACAGAACCGAAGACATGCTCAATCCGAAATGACAGTTCTTTGTTCTGCCTTGGAACAGAACAAAGAACTGCCGGGCTTTTCGGCTAGCCTCAGTAACACAGTTCTTAAATCTTACACCTGCCCACAAGAATGGAACTAAATCTAAAGTCACCAAAAATACTTGTATTTTTCATATAAGACATACTCTGAGGGGGTAGAGAGATGGCTCAGCAGGAATTCACTGGACAGCACCCATATCAGTGCCTTACAATCACTTGTAACTTCAGCTCCAAGAGATCTAATGTCTTCTTCAGGCCTCTGTGGACACTACACGCATATGCACATTTCACACATAGACATACATACACATATGATTAAAGTAAAAATAAAATTAAACTTAAAAAGACAGACTCTGAAGTTTCCTACAATATCACAACTTAAAAACACTGCCCATGATCCATGGTGTTGATTTCATGGTTCACTGATTAGTAGTAGCCCAGAGTTTGCAGGAGGCTGTTGTAGGAATTAAGGTGCACTGGGTTGCCATGGTTTCTTCATCATGTAGCCTGTATGAATATCAATCTCTTCTCCTGTAACTTATAATAATAAGAGTTAAAACTCTACATAATCTTTGAGATGATTAAATGAACATACAATAAGAAATTGCCTGTTATGTATTGCACACCAAAGTTATTTTCCTTATAATGCAAAATTACATGTGGGTGCTGGGAACTGAACCCAGGTCCTTTGCAAGAGAAACCAGTGCTTTTAGGTGCTGAGCCATCTCTCCAGCCCGCAACCAGTCTTTCTCATCTATTAAGATGATGAAATTCAATCTAGCAGTGGAAAAAAAGAATTCCAACAAAGAAACAAGCTCCTTCACCTGTGGAGAGAATCAGGTTTTGGCCACAGCCAAGGTGATATAGAGCCATTGAGAGCTTCTGAACAGAGCAGCCAGGAGCCAAAGCACTGGGAAATGAATGACGTGGCTCTGTGTCTCTCTCCCTGTCTGTGATGCCTCTGCTTTTCAAGGCTCACCAGGCTCCCAGGTCTTTCATCACTGCAGGACCCAGGCTGCTTGGTTTGTGACCTCAAAGTGCAGAGACCAGGTAGTGCAATTTCAGGATGTTGATCAGTGGTGGGTGAGAACTGAGGCCCTGAAGGTCTTCCCGGGCCTCCTGCAAACCTCTGTGAAGAAGGCAGACTGCCTCCTGTGGTGCTGTGCTGTTAACCATAATCACGAAGTACAATGTTGCCCTGAAGATCAATTGATTATCTGTTTCACTCACATTTAGTGAGGCAGAGGGACAGCTGCAATGGCCGGGAAGCCTGTGCTTCACTACGTAAATGCCCGGGGCAGAATGGAGTGTGTTCGGTGGCTCTTGGCTGCAGCAGGAGTGGAGGTAGGTAATGCATTAGATCGTCTTCAGCTGGACCTAAAAGTCACTTTAAAAAAATATCTTTCTAAGCCAACAGTTCACTAGGTAAACTGTACACAGATTTGCTTTAAGTAGTAATTTCCAGTTATTAAGAAGGAGATGGATTCAAAAAATGAAAATTTCAATAAGCTCTACACCAAGGGGCACATATGCAATTAAAAGATGGTTTTAAGAGAAAACATTAAATAACTAGTTAGTTACTTATTTTGGTTGAAACAAATTAGGTGCTATGACACATTCAGAATTATAAACTTGAACATTGATAGACTATAAAGCAATATTAAATGATTGTTTTAATTTTCAGTATGGTGTATGTGATTTTTAGGTCCAGTGTTGTTATTTTTTAAATAATACTTATATTTTAGATATTCACAATGAAGTATTTATGGTACAAACATATGATACCTTAGATTTGTTTAACAGGGTAGGAAAGAAGATGGACATAGAGATACTTGATGATTATCTGAGCTGGCAACTAATACAGAGAGGACTCTTGTATTTCACCTGTATTTATAGCATACTAGAAATGTATATGATAAAGGTTAAAGTATATGAGAAAGAGTAAATATTGTTAAGCCTAAAATATAAGCCACAAATGGGAGGCATGAGACAGCGGTTAATGACAGGCATTCTACATTCTTTCTGACTTTTGAACAGGAAATGCTGGCAGCATTCTGTGCTGCCCTCTAGAGGCATCACTGGGGAAAACACATCTCAGCTCACACCAGAGGAGTTTAGCAATTGGGATTTCCTGGAGAGGAAATCATGGACACACTACCTGGAGATTTGTTCTTCAGTTAGGAGCAGAAATGGGGAGCTAAAGGGAGGTCACCTCCTGGGAAGGGACTTTTGATGTAGTCCCTCAGAGTCATGACGGCATGTTCACCTCAGCCTGGGATTTCCACTTTCTCCATTCCCAGTGAATGGGCTTCAGACTGAGCCTTTCCCAAATGAAGACGTGCATAAGAACGGAAAACTCTGTAGTGCCGGTCCAGGGCTTTTCTTTACTAAACGAACAACTGGATTCCAATGTCCACATGCAGCTTTGTGGCTCCGGGCAGGCTCTACATCATGAACCTGATGAGGTTAGCACAGGAGGGAAAGTAGGGGTGAGACCATCTGTTTCCAAGCCTTCCTATTCTTTCCCACAGGGACCGAGAAGGCAGTGGGTGGGGCTGTTAGAGGCCCTGGCTCAAAGCTTCTGGGCTCTCTGTGCTCAAAGGCTGGTCATTGGCATCAGCCTCATCACCAACATCGCTCCCCACCAACCCCACCAGGATTCATCCACCCTCTTGTGATGACAACCAACATGCCTATGCTTTTGGGGATGCTGTGTAAGCTGCTAACATTATTACAATATCTGATTGGCCTAACATCATGCAATCAACAACAAACTGTTTCACTAAGCAAGGCAGAAGCCTATTTTTTAAACTTTCATAATTAAAAAACTCATTTAAGCTATAAAAGGAATCATCTGAATTACACTGAAGTATTAGGAAGATGGCTCACTGGGTTAAGGTTAGGCCAGATGACCTGTGTTCAGATCCCCAGAACCATGAAAAATCTCAGAGTGGTTTGTCCTCTGGAACACACATAAAATGGTGTGTGTGGACCCTCACACACAAACATATGCAAACACATACACAAAACAAAGAAATAATAAATACTAAAATGAAAATAAAATGCACCTGAGGTCTCTTCTAATACAAAAACTAGTTTCTAGTTCCAGGGGACTATGAGCATCTCTCAAAATGTCCTATAATGGTGGTGGGTCACCTGTCCTCTTGATCAAGGATGCCGAGGAGACCCCACCAGATGGACTTGAACCAGTGTCCAGTCTACAAAGAGGAGGATCAACACAGAGAAATCATTTCTTCCATGCTTCCAAGTGAAGGAAACCATGGTCAAGCAGGACCTTTGACTTATCTTCACATAGGCGGAACTGGT